TTTTTGTATTTTTTTGTTTTTTTTTGTATTTTTTTGTATTTTTTGTATTTTTTGTATTTTTTGTATTTTAAGTATTTTTTTTTGGATTTTTTTTTGTATTTTTTTTTTGTATTTTTTTGTATTTTTTTGTATTTTTTTTGTATTTTTTTTGTATTTTATTGTATTTTGTTTGTATTTTTTTGTATTTTTTTGTATTTTTTAGTATTTTTTTTTGTATTTTTTTGTATTTTTATTGTATTTTGTTTGTATTTGTATTTATATTGTATCTATTTTTTATTGTATTTTTATTATATTTTTATTATCTTTTTATGGTATTTTTATCATATTTTTATAGTAATTTTATTGAATTTTTATTTGTTAAATACTTTTCATTTATTTACTTACACTTGCCATCAATTTATCGCCGTACCAACAATATATACTAACTTGACACATCACGGTTACCAAATACAAAAGGAGGGTTGGAAATTGTAAAGATTTAATAGGAATCTGAAAAATATTAATGTTTATAGCATTCTAAAAATTAGTTATCAAAGAATTTATCTTACGATCATCAGTTGGAATCCTGTCATGCATATAACCAAAACGGTACATAAAAATTGAATGAAAATGCCGTTAGAGAAGGTCCTTTCCACGTCGTTAACAAAACTACAAAAAGAATATATTTATTCTCTTTATTTTCTTAAAGAAGACGTACGTAAACTCTGTTTCAATATACCTATACTCTGTTTTTAAACTAAGAGGAGCGATTTGAATTTAAGTTGGCAATTCTGTAGCTTTCTGATTGATCAGATGACAGTCATACATTACTTTTCAGCATGAACATCAGCTAATAATTCATATTGTTGACAGTTCTGACATTTTATAATTTGATATATCATCCATTATTACTATACGAGGCAAGAGAGAGGTCCGACACGCCCAACATAGGGCGCGGCCATTTTGAATCCTGTGACATAGTTTACAGCTAAAGAATCAGATCGCTCACTTTGCGTCGGCACTATGGATCTCAATGTTTTAGTTTATACACTGTGCAACTCGGATAATACAATATATGACAACCGCCTATAATAAAACAGCAGTCTTCTGCGTATCCTGAATTTGTATCCCTGGAGTGGATGTTATTTTGGAACTTTCAACTGGTCCGAGTGAGCTAACTGATTCTTTAGCAATAAACTGTGACTTCAAAAATAATATTCACTGACACTGACAGCAGCAAGCAAAATATCAGGTGCGTTTTAATCATCTGCTTCTGATTCCGGAATTGTCGGTTAGTCGTTTTAACCTGTCAGATTAAAACAAGAAAACCGACAATTCCGAAGCAGAAGCGGATGATTAAAACGCACCTATTAAAAATATTGCGCCAAGATATAGGCAACACGTAATAAGGGTTCAAAATGGCGGAGTTTTCTATCCCCTTTTAAAAGGCCCTCAGAAAGCTGCGCAGTGCGACCATTCTCCGTAAAGTAAAAGAAAATCAAAGTATGTGCATCCATTACTTAGTTTTTTACTTTATTTCGTAAATAATAGTTCTTCAGTAAGCAATTGTATTGAAAATCTACAATTATGGATCCTTCTACACTGAGTACTATTAAAGGTAGCAATTCCTGAAAAGCCTTACAAGAAAGGGAAGACACCTTATTATTTTACATGCTGATTCTGAAGGTTTTGTAGAAAATGCATTATTGGTTTTTGAAGGTAAAAAGATTACCATGAAGAGATGAATTCCGAAGTATTTTAGAAAAAAATAATTTTATTACTGATTTTTTAAAACTAAAAATTGATGAATTTCTAACCAAAACGATTAAAATGTAACTATTCAAGCAAATTTTATTTATTAGAATAGAATAAAACTATTTACAAAATTGTTTTAACATTTAAAACACCATCTACTACTTTAGGGACAATCTTAATTTGGCACAATGAGTTAACATTACTTTCACAAAAAATATTTAAAAAATGCTTAAAATTAATACATAGGTATGTATGAATAGTTCACTTTAAAAAAAATATGTTGACATGTAGTGTTATGAAAATGTTGGTTCCAGTTTTTAAAACAAATTCTGACTCATAGGCCTGTAAACTTTTGAATGCCTTTATTTGCCCTCTAGCGCATTAACCATGGGTTAACACTAAATAAGCCATAATATCCACATTACTCATAGAAGAGATACCAGTTACTGTGTGATCCACTTGTCATTCACTGATTAACTTTTACTTTTTATACCTATAACAAATATATCCTTAAAAATGTAAACATATCTTTATATTTTATACTAACCTGGCTACATCTGGATATTCCATTAATAATTTTCTTATATATTTAATATCCATTTTAAAAAGATCATAGTTATTCTCAAAAAGTCGATTTCAAAAGCAAGAAAAAAGTATTTCTGACATCAATCAACAACCATATTGACTTTAATTTGACAGTGACATTTCGTTTTAGACACACATTTCAGATCACAATAATGTGAAATTTGCGACCGTTGTCTGGGACCAATTAAAAAATTACTTGTATGACATTTATTCGTTTCTTAACCGCTTATTGGCCGTTCACCGACTAAGGCCGATAAAGATAATTATTTCATAAATTTTGAACACGACTATATTTCGAAACTCGCTCTTAGTAACAAATCTAGTTACTTTTCTCTGTGTAAATGCGTCTTTTCAATTCGATCCTCCTAGTTTAAAAACAGAGTATAGTAATAGTGAAAAAAGATGTCGGGAGACAACACAACCTCGAGCCAAAATCTAATACTGTCTTCCCTTGTATAAAGAATATTTATTTTTTAATTATTTTTGTTTAACTCAAATTTCTAGTTTATATTAATATATGTTATATATTTACAGTGCTCACAATGCTTTGTAATTTAAATAAATAATATTGCAATACAAATCTTTTTTGCTAATCTAAGCTAAGTGCAAGCAGCCGTTAACCACTTTTGGTTCTTTTCATTTATATTTTTTTAACTCATTGTTTACAAACCTGTTAATAGCGTAGAAATGAACGACGCATTTATTCAAATTTCTCAACACCACCTCATCTTCAACCTCTTCCTCCCCAAGGGGTACTGATTCCCTAAGCTTTGTTTTCAGATTCTCAAATTGTCCCACAGCAACCATAAGAAACTTTATGGGGAGAACATCTAGACATATATTCGTAAAAGCTTCTAGTCCAATAGCCAAAATGATAAGAAAATAAATTAAGTAGTAAGAGTTGTCCATTTCGAAAGGAATCCACAATTTCAAAGGTAGACGCCCGGTCCCTTTGGATCCTTGGTCAAGTAGAGGGAATAACGCGAAAAAGATTGTAGCGAATACAGCTGCACCACGATACATATGACCAAACAATTGGAATCCTAGGAGATTTTCTTTAATGACATCACTTTCTTCATTAGTGACATCGCATAAAATCGGTTTGCGTAAATGACTTTCCACCACCACAAGAACATCCTTCTTTAGTATGAAATTCACCAGTTTACATAGGAATGCTGTTTGTGTGATGAAGAATAACATTGTTTCTGTCATGTCAACGATTTCTACTTTTACCAGGAGTAAAAATAGTAGCATAAGAATCCATTCTAGGAAACTTAGTATCATGATTACAAGTGAGTTGATCCTGTTCAAAATACCCACTTTTTTAACTGGATAGAAACCTTCTGCGGTTAATGAAATTCTTTCAGTTTCAATAAAGTCGAGTATATTCATGATCTAAAAAAAAATTAATTGGTATACTCTATAATACCAGAATGAACCAAAAATCCCTAAACTACCCGCAAGAAACTACCATTATCATTTATGTTTCAAACCACGCCCCACACTTTTGTTTAATATGATACATTTTTTGCTTCATGTCAACGATATTATACAATGTATTGGTCAAAACTGTAAATAACAGACTCACTTAACCTGTTTCTGAGGGGTGCGTGGTTTGACGAGCGGTTGATTTAAACTACCTCCTACAAAAATAGGAAATTAAATTTGTATTATATAGTAAAATATTTCCCATGTTGTCAGCCCTTTTTTACCATTTTGACCATATAAATACAGCCTAAAAAAAGCAATATAATATATGACTGAACTAAGGGTGATAAATTGGATCATTTATTTTACACCCTTTGGACCCTCCGTAGTATTACCCTAATTCATTTGTAGCGTGGTGACACTGCAGCTTGCAGTTTATTGTACCACCATTTGAACATCCCACTACTTTCTCAATTACTAACTCATTCACCGTTATTAATTTCACATCGTCGATGGTTAAACGCTTGTTGGTTAAATCAAATGGTGGCATGGCCCATGGTAATCGTCCCAGCCGACAATCATCCACGACGTGACTGGAGATATCACAGCTTAACTGTTGCGAGAACGCGAATCGAACAGCCAATAAAGAAAACATTGTACATTTAATAGAGTAAGTAAATTATAAATTTCCAGCTAACTACTTTTTTAAATTCCTGAAACAGGTCAATTTTTATTTCTAAAATGACAATATTTTAACATAATTATGTACCTCTTGCTTCAAACGCTTTGGAGTGACAGAAAACAATTCAAATTTTTAAATAAAATGAGGGATTTGATACCTCATTTTAAAAAGTTTTTAATTCTTTATTCAGTCACATAAGGATTTTTGTTTGTATTTTTCTAATTTTTAACAAGCAATCTTATAAAAAAAAAATATTAAAATGAAATAATTTTTAAGATTCTTATAAAACATGTTCTGCTATTTTTGGGGAGATTTGCTGGATTTACAGTGCTTCTTCATAAAGAAAAATGTCAAAATTTTAAAAAACTTCTGTCTAGACTTTTTTGGAAATATTTCTGCTTATAATTTTAGTGTATAGCTAACAACATGGTTCGCGAGTGTATTTTGTGCAAAAAACTGGATAATGTAAGTGCTAAAGTATCTTTTCAAAAGTAAGTAAGGTTAGGTGATGCATTGCATTGTTCAGTGGTGTAGATTTAAAGATTTTTGCCGTAATATAACATGTTTTACTATTATTTATTTCCTTTGATACTTCAACGTTAATAATTTCGTAAAAATTGTTATTTACTTTGGTCTGGATTTTAGTAGTAAAATAAATATGCTTATGCTTCCTTTTTAGATTCTACGAGAAAGCCTCCTGGGGCCATTTTTTTTATATAAAAAAATAATATTATCTCGCAATTGTAACTTATTATCTCACAATTGCGACTTATTATCACGCAATTGTGAGTTACTAACTATATAATAATAAATATTGTATTATTCTTGAAAAAAAGAATGTTCTAAGTTTTTTTACCTACATTCCACTTAACTGCATACCCTTACTCCAAATCCAATATGTTTTAAAGTTTAAAGATACTCTCTTAAAGACAATACAAAATTCTCACCATTAGTGAAGGAGACCGATACATGCAAGTTATTAAGATTTGTCTTTTTTCAGAAGTAGTAATACATATTTCTAAAACTGAAAACTGACCTATCATTACGATTTTATGTGTGTGTTTATACTTATTTTTAATGAATACCGCAACGCAATAATTTTTATTTAATTGACCGTAGTTGTATCCCAGACAGCACTCGACATCTTAAAGACGTCTGTTTTATGTCGTAGTTATGACTGAACGCCTAAAGACCTAAAAAAGACGTTGTAAAGACGTCTTTTAGGACACATAAACAGACGTCTTAAAGACGTCTTTTGAAAGCCTATCTATTTAAAAAATATAAAAAACAATGGTAACTTTAAAAAAAGTACTAGCTTACTTGTCGTTTCTAATTTCACAAAATATAAATTTATTTTTAAATTGTTTTTATTAATTTACATAATTTACTTATTTTTTTTATTTATTCACGAGCATTTGTTCATTATAGTAAGTAAATATTTGATAACATAAAAATAATAATAAATATAACTCTAAATAAAATTAACAATTAAAACATAAGACAAATTGAATTACGCGCTCTTTCACCTTGACCGTAACATGGTTCAACGATCGAAGCGAATGTTTTTATTATGCTTTGTCTTTTTTCAACAGTAGAATTTAAACAAGGACGTGTATCTGAATGTGAGTATTATTGGGGTTCCGTGGTTCGTGGCGATCTGAGTTGTCCTTTCGTTGTCATTTGTCGTTGATGTTGAAGATGAATGCCGAGAGGTTAGTTTTTGTTGGTTATTCGTTGATTTTTTATTTGTGTCTTGTGCCGTGGATTACTGTGAATTTATAAGCATAAAAGTTTACTGCATATACTGAAAAACCAAATAGAAGAACCCTTATTAGTGTTTTAAGTACGTCTAGGCGTCTAGAACTGACTTAGAAGCTTCATCGGATGTAAATATATCTGAATTGAGAGTTGAAAGTACAGGAAGATTGCCATTCTTTGACCAACCTTAACCCACACTATCTACTGAAAATCCTATTAAAGCGAATTTGACAGCGTGAGCTATAATGCATAATATTTACACAGCGCAGTTAAAATTATTGCAACCCAGACTGGCTCAGAAGAGCATCCGACAGAAGATTAACCACTAACGGAGGAAGAATAAAAAAAAAATAATTTGTAATATTACTTTTTTTAACGAAATGCTTCAGTGTTTTGTAAATAATAATGTTTATAGAAAATATGTGTTTTATTTTGTATAGAAGAAATTTACAGAAAAGCTTTTAAAACTAAATCCGAGAGTACGTCTTACCAATGTCTGGTAACATCAGACGTCTTAAAGATGTCTTTAAGACGTCTGGCCGACGTCATAAGACGTCTGTCATGTCTCTGACAGACGTCTTATGGACGTTTTAAAGATGTCTTTGTGCTGTCTGGGATATTAGCTGGTACCATAGCCCTCAGAAGGTCTAGATACCGCATCGTAAAAACATTTTGACCCCCCATATGATGGGCGCCATGATAAATAAATGTCAATAAATTTTAAGTTGGCACTACTGACAAGACATAATCGGCGCAAGTTTAGTAATAAGCGTAAGATCGGCGTTCGACGTATATAATCGATTTTATTATCTGTTGTGTTGTTTATTTTGTTCTTCTAGTAAAGGTTTTATTTAAAACATTATTTTTTAGTTTAGTCGTTTAGTGTTTTATTTTAATAAAAACCATTTGTGGTTTGGTGTTAAATTTTTACAGGATTTTCAAAATCTCTTTTTGTTTTGTACGTAAATATAACAATGCATCTAACGGTAGAAGATACAAGGAAGGAATAACATTTCATGTGTAAGTTTTCACAAATATTTGTGTATTTACAAAATCAAATTAGTATGTTTTGTTGTAGCATACCAAAAAATGTTAGGAAAGAATAACTGATAGCCATAGGAAGACCATTGAATCATTTTGTGACTTTAGTATAAGCCCAGAAAATTTGGGGATACTAGCTGAAACGGCAAATGTGTTATTGGCTCCTTGTTAGTGACCTATTGTACAATTTTTCCAACACAAGTTCCATGATCCTTTGAACTTGGTAGCACCGTACTGATGAAGACCAATAGTCAGAAAAACGTGTCGACCGTTACTTCTTTTTTACTTTTTTTTATTCGGAAAATGTCCACTATTACTACCTTGATACAACAATATTAGTTCCGTTCTAAGTAGGTATATATTATAGTTTGTATGTTTTATGCTTTATTTTATTATATGTAATAAATGATAGGAATTATACTTTTATAGTAAATAAATTGATTAAAGCAATATGTAAGAATAAGTTTATCTAAGGATTAAATTGTTAAAGCAATTTTTCATATCCATTGTTTATTAATTTGTTTCATTTAATTCTTTCTTATTGAGTAAGTTATTTCATATAAATATGCGATACTTGTAAAATGTAATATTTTCTTTTAAATATTATGTTCGTATAAAATATTGTTCAGTTAATAAAAACAGAAATATTTTGTCTTTTATTCAAAAGAAGTTTGTAAATTTTTCAAAATATATTTACCTACCCCAAAAAAAGATTAATAAAACCAGTTAGTCATATACACATTTTCTATATATTTATAGAGGTACTTTTTAAATAACTTTCAATACATTCGAAATATGTGGTTTTATTAAACTCAATGTAACAAATAATAATAGGTATTCTCAAAAATATTAAAAAATAAAATCGAGAGGGGACTCTTGTATAATTTAGTGACTATTCGCCTATGGTTAGTGCACTGCTGTATGTCCCTGGGTTTTCTACATTAGAACAATACTGCTTCTCCACTCTAGCAGTATTTTTTGCATCTCAGATTATATTTATTAAAAAACCAAGGAATTGTTTTGGGCCTATTGCTGTGCCCTTTTCCAACATTCCCAAAGTTTTTTTTTTTACTTTCTGCTTATTGGATCTCCGATAGCGACAACTCCATTTGTAGTTCCACTAGTTTTTTATCCAATTTTTAAAATAACTTCTATATATTTATCTTTTGCAATGACTTTGCTTACCTGCTTAATAATCTCTTCCCTATGCCCCAATTTCTCTAACAGGTGAGATCTTATACTCGCTCTATTAAATCAAATTATCATTATAGTTTATTTGAAAATGCTTGGTAGCACAGTTTTTATGGCAACGGTCCATATTTTTATATAATTTTGCTATTATTCATTTTCAAATAAACTATAGGAATAGGAGTAATCTATTAGTTTTTCTAAAAATACCTTGTTACCGATGTAAGTATATCTTTCCCTAGTTAAAAAATTCGAGTTTTTATTTTCATAATACAATATAAATAAATGACCGGTTAACA